TTTGTGTCATTTACTGTATATATTGCTATCAAATTCAACATACCGGTAAGTTTTTGACTAAATTCATCCCAAAAAATTCTCATAGAGCATGCAGTCAAAAAAACCTGGAACAAGCGCGAAACAATGTTTCCATTCCAGACCCTCAATTTTATTATACTCTTCAATGCTCGTGTAATCCACAATGTAAGGGGTAATAATATGTTAATGAGCAGAAAAACATGTTTACCTTTGGATCCATTATAAATATCATTGGACCCCCAGTATAAATGTTGGTTGTGACAAACTTGCTTTCAGCAGGGTCCTTATTCTTGAAACGCAGTTTAATGAACTGCCTATTACAATCTGCACCATCCATCACACACCAGTATATTCTTTACATTGAAAAAGAATATATTCAATAAATGTATATTCAGTTATTAAGGATAGTACAAATAGTTAAAGTTACTTTGGTACATATTTTTTTGTTATTGTGTCCTTTTTTGTTATTGTGCAATAATTCTTTTTCCATATTTTCAGGTACAACTTAAATACCTACCAGCCATGTCATAATGATGAAGCAATGTAAGTATAATGTCACTATTAAGCTGTATATGCCTATTAATATTAATATTGTTTACTTAAATTGTACCAGTATGTGTATAGTGGAGAATAAACTAATCATTTCACTCACTTAAATCCAATTTCTAACATCTTCAGGACTCCCTCCCAGAACAGATGATACAGGTCACTTGGAGCACATTTCGCAGACGGCCATTGAGCTATTGGGAACCTGAAACCACCATCACTCAGAAAGACAAATTGTAGCACATGTGTTGCTAGTTCTAGATCATTGCCTTGACCTGCAATTGATAATATAATGTTGTAGTTTTGAGTTTTAAATCTTTAGTAATATGTTATACAAAATCAGGACTTGGATAACTTGTATAATATATGAACAGTAAATTCCTAGTTTACTTTAAAGTTTTTAAATCGTGCAGTTAGCTTGCGCAGATGCCTAAAAAATTGACAAATTTTACTCTAAAAAAAAAAAAATTCATATTGTTGGGCTGACTTTCCTTTTAGGTATTCCCTAAACCTAGAAATCATAACCTGCTACTGAAGGGACCTACGGGTTAACACTTTTTCAATTCAGTTATTTTTTCTCAATCATTTAGCCCCTTTCTTTAAAGGTTAGCTGGTACCAAAGGGCCATGCAGTACAATTAAGAGGGATGTTAAGATTTGTTTGGCCTGTAGTATATATTGTTACTCTAATTTGAATGCTCCTTATAAAAATAATACATAGAAAAAGAGGCTCCTTGCCAAATCTATATATTTGTTAGCTGTTGAAATGTTGACGTATAAGTTGTTTTTAGAACAAACCTGACAGACTCCCCATCAGTTCATGACCCTTTCCAAGGTCAACGAAGCCTACAAGCTTGTGTTTGCCACCTACAGAGGTCATCTCTAGGTTCTCCTGTAAGTTTAATTAGGTAATCAGTATTAGTGCTATGTAAGTAAGTAATGTACTTGGGAATGCAAATATTGAACTGTTTTTCTTTGTTAAAAAAAAAAAAAACTAAAAATCCTCCCAGGACACATGTCAAGTGAGTAGTATACTTAATTATGTTTTTGAAATGAAATGTACTTGTCTATCGAAAAATAGTGACGGCAGAAGGTATTTGATTTAACTTAAAAGCATATTCACTGCCTTAATGGTGACCATTTCTTTTTTAACATGAGTGTTATGCTGGATACTTTTCATTAGTATGTCTTCCACATTTTTTAAAATTCACCTGAATCTTCATCTCGTCAATT